TAATTAAAAAAAAAGTGTTTGTGTGACTAACGTTTAAATTAGCCTGTATAAATTAATTTTGAATTGCTGATCCATGTTCTTTATAGTTAAGACTCGCTTGATCGGCAAGTCATGTTGTATATCTAATGATTTTTTTTTTCCAACCGATCTATATTTTTTTTCCCTTTTCCTTTTTCGGTTAGTTTTTTTCTTTCAAACCGAATTTTTTTTTCCCGAATACATTCTTTCACTATTTAGATTTGGATCGATAATCAGATCAATGTTGCGGCGAATTAAAACCCGTGACATGCCTCCGCCTGATCTATTTATATTCGATTCCAATCAACTAATCCAATTTCAGTAATTTTTTGTCCAAATTTTTTTTTTTCAAATATTTTTTTGAAAATTTTTCAAACCGAAAAAATTTTTTCTCCCTTTTCTTTTAGTTTAATAGTTTAGTTTTTTTTTTCAACCTGAAAATTTTGTTTTTTCTCATTCTTTTCCCGTTTAGGATTAATTTTTTTCCCAAACTGAAAAAATTATTTTTTTTTTTTTATTAAATTATCCCATTTGTTTTGGTCTTTAAGACCAATTTTTTTTTTTTATTTTTTTTGATCTTTTTTTTTAGACCATATTGTTATTTTTTTAAAAAAAAATTTTTTTTTCACTCTTTTGGATCGGATTATTGTCCTTTTTTTTCAGAATTTTTTTCGTACTTATTTCTTGAAATTTCCCTTTTTTTTAAACTGATTTCTTTCTTTATCCTTTTTCTTCCCCCCAAATTTTTTTTTAAATTTTTTTTTATTATTAAATAAAAATAAAATATTATATAATTAGCCAATAAAATATAATGCACAAATTTGATATCACCGGGTAAATTATATGCACCCAAGTTTTGTGGGCGTGGTTTTTTGTATCACGGGTGTGACAAATAAATTTTTGACACTAAAAAAACCGAGTCCCTCAGATACTGAACTCGTGGCTACACGTGATCAGTGACACTTAAATGTCACTTGTTCCTTATATGGTGAAGATCGATACAAACCGCGCGAGTGCAAATTATATAGGTTCTTAACTAATTATTACCATATTAAATTCCTAATTATAGACAAAAAACTACTGTAACCATCTTTAATTCTAAATTTTTCTATTTAAACAAATTCATTGCGAAGCAACGGGTTACTGCTAGTTTATTATTAAAATATAATATGATCCCCGATCGTTGATCCCGTGATGCTATTAATTAATACGTTCCCCAAAAAAATATTGGCTAGTTATTATATATAATAGATAATAGATAATATTATAAAAATAACTTACAAATTAAATATTTTATGTATTAATATACGTAATACATATATAAAACTTTTTGTACCCCATTTGTTAAATTAAACAGGGATAAAATATTATATAATTTTCACAAATTTCATTAGCAAAAAAATAAATGATGTAAACTCATCAAATTACGTACTAAAGTCATATCATTTTTACACTATATTTAAAACCTCTTTAAATAAACTTATACAGTGCAGTATTATAGATACTTTAATTTTTTATTATTTTAGACATTTTTCTTTCTTCAGTTTTTTTTTTAACGATTTCTATAATTAAAAGTGAACAATACCACAACAATAAACTTCTTAAAATTATTAAATTGTAAAGTACAACCAAAATATTAAAATGCTTTCTTTATAATTATCATCAATAATTTAATCAAACTACAGGAAAAAGCTTGTCATGTGGATTTTTTAAATGGTACGAGAAATCTAATACAATTCATAAAATTTATTTTTTATATCGAAAAAAAGTTCATTAATATAATGCAATTAATAAAAACGAAAATGTAAAAAAAATGCATGTTCAGTTTCTACTTATTATTAAACGTGACTTCTTGAATAAATGAGTTACAGTACAGAAAAATACCATATAATTTATAATTCTTTATTTTAAAATGATAATGAAATATATTTATTAAGTAAAATTATTACTATGCAAAACATCAGTTGTACTTGATTCTTAGTTGCATTTGGTGAACTGCTTAATTAATCAAACGTTTAAAGAATATTTGATAAAATAAAATAATTCTAATTTTTTTTTTGTTCTTAATAATAAGTCTACAGTAAAACGATTGTTAACGTCAATTCTCTGTGAAAATCCAAATTTATTATCTTAAAAGGTATTGCTTATAGCTATTTTATTATTTTAAACATGACTTGTAGGAATAGGTTATTGAACAAACTAGAAACGAGAATAACAATTCTAGAACCAAAGCAAGGAATAAAAAATAATTATAAATTCATAAAGTAAATTTTTCCTTTATAATATTACATATATAATACATTTATAAAAAAATCCACATTTCTTACCATGGTTTGGATGTTGTTCCAGTTGGTTCGATTCCAACAAACAGATCTACAAATGGAAAAAATTTTTGAAATAAACAGCTTTGAAATATATAACCCAGCAGCCCGGAACCTAAACATAAAGAAAACAAACATTAGTATAATGTTCGTTAAAGAAAGCAAAACAAAAAAAGAACTTCAAAGTGTTTACCTTCGAAGTTCTTCACCATTACAGTTCAGCATCCAGAAGACTTTTAGCAAAATGGGAACCCAGAACCTAAAATAAAAGAAAAATGAACATTAGTTAATATTCGATAAAAAAAAATTTTGAAAGGTATACCTTTGAAATGGAGTCTGGCGGTGTTCTGGACCTACAAAAAAAGGAACATGACGTTCACTAGATAAAATTAATAGAAAAAATTTATTCGAAGGAATACCTTCGAAATTCCGTCCAAGAGGCGTCCGGAAAGCTGAAAACCTACAAAAAATAAAATTGAAACGTTAGCTAATGTCTCATTTAAATAAAGTAAAAAAAAAAAGAATTTTGAAGTTTTACCTTCAAATTCCGCCCAGAAACTAACAGGACCGTGGACCTACAAAAGAATAAAATCGAAACGTTGGTCAACGTTTTGTTTAATAAAAAATATATTATATTTTCTCCAACTTACCTCATATCCATTTCGTCCGGGGAGCCGTTCTCTAAAAAAAAAGACAATGAAGAATGTTAGTAAACGTTCTTAACGAAAAAAAATTTTTAAAAAAACAAATTCCCCTTCCCTCGGCTTACCTTGATCCGTTCCATCTTAGGAAGCCGTTCTCACCACGTTATTTTTTTTTTTTTGTATTATAAATTTTTCGTTGGGTTTGCATTTCTTTGGTTATAGTATCCATCTAAAAAAATCAAAGAAGAACGTCAGTAAAAGTTCTTAGCGAAAAAAAATAAAAAAAAGAGAAAAAAAAAAATCCCTTCCCCTAGCTTACCTTGCATCAATTTCACCTTGAATGGTCCAGGAAGCGTTCCTTAAAAAAATTTAAAAAAAGAACGTTAGTAAAACGTTCTTAACGAAAAGATTTTTTTTTAAAAAAATAAAATCCCTTTCCCCGGCTTACCGTTCTCTAAAAAAAATAAAATAAGAACATAAGTAAAACGTTCTTAGCGAAAAAAAAATATAAAAAAATTCAAGTTTAAACTTACCATGTTAAAGTTTGGAAATATTGAGTACCGAACCTACAAAAAAAAAAAGATAAAGAACGTTAGAAACGTTCTTTGAAAAAATAAAAAAATAATTTTAAAGTTTCGCAACAAGATGTTGCGAAACTTACCGTTTCGGGAACCTTGGAGTACCGAAACCTACAAAAAAAAAAAAGAATAAAGAACGCTAGAAACGTTCTTTTATAAAAATGTTAAAGTTTTGTATGTAATGAGATGCGAAACTTATCATATACCCGTTTCGGATCCTTATTAGATACATAGACAAGATAGTTTGATATTAAACTTAAATCTGGTGTTTTTTAATTCATTCATGCATGCATTCGAACATAAACAAATTAAAGTTTCGCATGTAATAGAATTATAGAAGAGAACTTATTGATTTTTTTATGAATAATGGATTTCCTATTTTATCCTACACAATAAAAAAAGCCAAAATAAAAAAAGAATTTTTTTCTATTATTATCTATGACGCAAAATTTTGTACTAAACAACATTTGTCTTCCTATTTTATCCTACACAATTAAAGCCACAATAAAAAAAAATTATCGCACAAAATTTGTACTCTGCATTATGCCTGTCTCTTATACACATCTAGATGTGTATAAGAGACAGTTATAGAAGAGAACTTATTGATTTTTTTATGAATAATGGATTTCCTATTTTATCCTACACAATAAAAAAAGCCAAAATAAAAAAAGAATTTTTTTCTATTATTATCTATGACGCAAAATTTTGTACTAAACAACATTTGTCTTCCTATTTTATCCTACACAATTAAAGCCACAATAAAAAAAAATTATCGCACAAAATTTGTACTCTGCATTATGCCTGTCTCTTATACACATCTAGATGTGTATAAGAGACAGATTTTATCCTACACAATAAAAAAAAAGCTACAATAAAAAAAAGAATTTTATCTATTGTTCTCTCTGGCGCAAAATTTTGTACTAAACACATGCATATGCATTATGCATTACAAAATTTTAATTTTTAATTTTTTTGTCCAATTAAATAATTTAACTTCGTCAAATAAGTTATTGATTTATCGATCGTATTCCATTATGCTAATAAACTTAATCATAAAATCTAGTTTTTTAAACTCGTTCATGCAAATAAATCAATAATTAAATAAATAAATTTCAAGAAGAAACTTATCAATTTCTCACAAAATTAAACTGGAACTATTCTTTTACATAATGTTTGAATTCATATGATTTCAATTTCCTATTTTATCCTACACAATAAAAAAAATTTTTTTCTTATCGTTCTCTTTGGCGTAAAATTTTGTACCATACATGTAAAATTTTAATTTTTTTCTATCTAATCAAGTTGACTTTATCATCAAATAAATTAATTAATTGGTTTACCGTGCATATTTTATTATGCTTACTATAAATGGAAATTTTAAAAAAAAAAAAAAAAAAAATTTTTTTTGTGGATTTTGAAATAAAATTCATTAACGTGATATGGATCCCGAAAAAATTGAATCTCCAGAAGATACTAGACTTCCAATTGCGGATCATGGTTTTGATGATAGTACGAAAGTACAAATGGAAGCGACTGATAATGAGGATGAAAAAAATAAGGAAAAACATAGGGAATCAATTGATCGTATTTTTGTTTCTCAATACATCAATGATACTGACAATGAAGCTTATGTTGTAACTTATAGTAAAGAAAATAATTCAGTTCTTGGATGGTATGTTAATATTGAAAAGAATAAGCATATTCAACCCAAATCCGATGTTTATTTTCAGTTAGTAGATCGACTCAAAAAGTCCTACTATATAAAGTCATATATTCTATGCAAGAAAATTTTGTTATTTTTTTATTGGGGTGAGGAAGACGGTGATAACTATTGTAAGTATTTATTGACTCAATTAATGAGAATAATAAAAAATTTAATTTTGTTTAATTAATAATTTATACTGTAATTAGGTCTTATTGATTTAAATAGTAATCCTCTTAGTAATCGATATCTTGAACTAAAGTGTCCCTATTCCCTTACTGAATATAACTATGTACCTCCCAAGCAAGATATTGGATTCCTTCCTAATGGTGATTTAATTCAAGTAACAATAAAAGATCGCAAAATTTGCAAGTTCTGTTTTACAAATAAGCCAAATAAAACAGTTTCTTGGGAATATTCTCATATTTATGATATAGAAATTCATGACTTATCGGGTTGTCTTATATGTCAATCAAAGTTATTTCTTTTTTTACGAAATTCTGAAACGTTAATACTTCAATTTAATTTATCGACAATGACCTTAGATAACCAATACAATATACTAGATACTCAACCGTTGAGGTATACTTTTCAAGCAATTGCGAATAAAAATCAAACATTATGGGCGACAGATATTTTTTCAGGTATTCGGATATTTTCAATGGAAAGTGGGATGATATATTCACGTGGTTGGTATTATTTTTACAATATATACAGCATATTTTTGATATGATAAAAAATTTTTATAAATTTTAATAGTAATTATTCGTAGAAAATCTTTACTATCACGAAGTTCCAGTAAAATTCATAACTTTAAAATATGGTTTGGAAGGATTAATAGTTAAGGTTTTAAAAGAAAATAAATATAGGCTTATCGATCCTTATCAGCCTTCTAATGTAATAGATATTACTGGTGATATTGGAAATATGAATGATTTTAATAAGAAGAATGTGATAACTAAATTAAATAAAAAAGTTTCCATTGACAATAATAATAATGTTTGTGTCACAGATTGGTTAGATGAAAGTAGATTACAACAATTAACAAACATATCGAACAAGATTGACCAAGATAGTAGTATTTACTCTTTTTCTACTTTAAAATTTATTCAAGAAATGCTTAAGGATATCATCGAAAAGGGCATTGATAGGGTTATACCAGAAGGTGGGGTTCGAATAGAACATGAGGTTAATGAAAAGGAATGGTTCCTAGAGAGATATGAGTATGAGGATCATATAAAAGTCAGTAAGCATGGGGATCGTGGTACATCATACATTTTTAATCTTAGGTCTTATATACTTTCATTTAAATTATTAAATAACCGGTATTTGGTACTAATTAAGGGGAGTGGAATCAATATTTATAACATTGAAGATATGAGATGTCAATACATTTGGAGTAATAATGAATGGAATGATATTAGAGAAAAAATTGAAAATATTTTATATTTTGAACAAATAGATAATAACGATATTAAACTAATTAATTACCACTTTAAAAAACTTCTAGATAATGAATTTAATGATTATAGATCTTCAATACCATTATCGAGTATAAAAGATTTATATAGTGATAATATTATAAATGATACAATAGGATTATCAAAATTTGGATCAGAACTTTTGAAATTATGGAATGAAAACGATACTACTTTTGGATGGGAGAATATTTTTAAACCAATGGTTATAAAAATTATAAACGATAGAAAGTTATTTATAAAATTTGGATCAGAAATATTAAAAATAACCATTAAGAAAAATTATGATGATATTGTTCAACAAATTATTGATAAAATTATTGAATCAATTACAAGTAATTCAGGAGATTACAAAAACACATTGTTGCCTTTTATTAGTTTAAATTTGCCTGAATTATGTCAAAACTGTTATTCTGATTTCTTAATTAAATATATGGCATACACATCTATTATGTTATCTCCTAATTGTAATTCCATTAGTAGTTCAAGAGATACTTCACTTAACTCATACTTAAATAATTGCATTATAAAATCACATCTGGGTAGTAATTACTTTAAGTCTATATCTTCATTATATGATCGATATTTAAATAAGTCACAGAAAGAAACCAGAACAATCAGTCTCATTGTTCCTTTTCCTCAAATTTTTTGTGAATACCAAGATGACACCGATACCACAATACTAAAAAAAATGATTACAGGACTAAAAACAATCATGATGGTACCAAAAAAGAATAATATTTGGAATGAATTTTTATATAAACCAAAAAAGATTCTTTTTTGTAATATAGATAGTAATAATTTATATAATTGGTGGAATTTTGCTGCGATCATAGACTTTAAGTGGAAAACTTTTGGATGGATTTACTATTCTTTTATTTGGGTTATCTATACAATTTTTTATATTTGCTATACACTAGCTTCTACAGCATTGTCCATTGCTGATTTTTATCGTGGTTCACTTTACAAAATTACAATTATATTTGGCATCATACAATTATCTTTTGAAATTCGACAGTGTCTATGGAGACCAAAAAAATATTTCACTGATCTATGGAATTTATTTGGTAAGGAAATTTATTATTTATTTGCATATGATATATTAAAACTAAATTAACTTTAATTCAATCAATTAATAGATGTAGGGGCTTATTCATTACCCGTTATAATATCTCTTTATTGGTTTATCAGTAAAAATCCACCCCATTGGCTTATGGCTATATCTTTTATATTATTAAGTTTTAAATTCTTATTATTTTTTAGAGTATTTAGTTCGTTTGGAAAATATTTTGCCATAATAATTGGTGTTGCCCAAACAGTTTTTCCATTTTTGGTGGTCTTATTTTTTATTATACTTGGATTTGCTCAAGCATTTTTTATTATTCTAAGATCAATTGAAGTTAATGATGATAACGATCCACAGAACCTTGTAACTAAATATGATTTTGTTAATTCAGATGGAACTATAAATAATATAATTCAACCTTCAGATTCAAATACAAATTTGTTTAATTGGTTTCCTACTTCACTTTTAGCTGTTTATAAAATGCTTACTGGTGATTCTGGATCTTTATCATCATGGACTTTTCGTGAAAATCCCACAATGACATTTTTATTAGTTGCTTTTACATTTTTCACTGTAATCTATCTTATGAATTTATTTATTGGATTGCTTAACATAGCAATTGCTGATTATAACAAAGAAGAAGAATTTTTACTTCAAAAAGCACAGGTAATAGTTTTTTTGTCTTGGTTACTATATTCGGTGATGATATCAAATTTTCACTGATTACACTTTATTTTTAAAGATTATTGCAGAGATTGAATTATTCTATATGTTACCAAGTCAGAGACGTGATAACAAAGAATGGTTTCCAGATTGGATGTAAGAGTTAATTTATCAATATTAAAAATTTTTGTTAATTATTGTCCCATTATATTGTTAACTATATTTTATTTAATTATTTTAGTTATTATGATATGCCTGTTTCCGAAGTTCGTAAATTAATTAATGCAATTGATAATAATAAGGCTGATTTTAATTATCCTCCGTTTATCAGTAATGAGTTGAGAAGTTTAGTAGCAATTAAGGATAAATATAGGGAAGAAAAATTGAATGAAACAAAAAATGAACTTATAAATGAACTCAAAAAACATATTCAAGAAGTATTAGAAAATAATGCTAAAAAGGATAAGGCTAATGCTAACGATGAAGTTGTTGAAAAAAAAGAAAATGACGATCAAATTGATGAATGATCAACTTTCGTTAATTTCCCATTATATTTACGATAAAATATTCTTTTTTAACTCTTTAGAACTTTTTTTAAATGTAATATTTCTTTATATTTTATTTATATTTTAAAGCTAGTTAATAAATTATATAAAATTTACTTATGGATTATTTGGTAAACTATTGACCATTGTATCAGAATAAATTCTTTTATTCATTTAACGAAACTGCAGTAACCCACGTAATTTACCTATTATTAAATAGTTCACGATGCATTATTTCTGTACTTTAACAGCTGTAATTTTTTTGTATCTTAGGTGATAATATTCTTTCAGTAATAAACTATAGGCGATTTCTATTTGTACACGGGGTGTTCAAACACGGGTTTCCAAAAAAGTAAATTTCCTATGCTGATCATTTAATGTTGGGCAGAATTAAATTTAATCGAAAACAGGAAAAAAAAAGAATTTGTTAAATAATCAAAATTGGCATTCAAAATCAACTTTGACGCATGTTCCCTTTAAAATTATATTTATTAAAAATTTTTTTTACATACAGTAACTTATTAATAAAGTCACGTGATACGTGTATGAACACCCCGTGTAAATTAAGAAATTTTCTAAACTATATGTAGAGAAATTTTTTTTCGCGTAAAAAACAGGCAGAAATATTATTTCGTATAAGTGGAATGAAAAATTCTCTTTCTGCTATTATTCTGACGGTGGTGGATTTCGTGATGACAATACATTGACCACAATACTTTGTTCAAAAGGATGTTACCAACCTACCAGATTCTTTGAAATAATCTTAAAGGCTAATTTATGTTAATACTATGCAAAATTGGGTTTTGATTTGATTGATGTAGTTATTAATTTAAAACATGACATTTTCTGGATGCGTGAACGTGTGAAAAATTTACAAAAGCAAAGTGACTTTTCAAAAAAAAAAAAAAAAACAATGATCAAAGGAAGTTTTGACCGTATTTTTTTTTTGTTAAATTTTTAAATTATAAAGATAAATGATTTCATTTTATTAAATTATATCACTTTAAATCTGAGCTTTTTTTACTTTTTTGATCCACATTTTTCACCTTTTAGCTTGTATTGATTGTCTCAAACTCATTTTTCACCTTTAAGACTTAATGTTTTTTCCAGTTAAAAGTATCCTTGGAAATATTTTTCAAATTAAATTACATTAAAAAGACATTTTTGAAGAAATTCATAATTTGACAAGATAGTTTTATATTACCTTTTATACTACCAAATTTACCAAATAAAAATAAATAGAATTTTAATCCCCATATCGATATTATTTGTAAAAATAATATTTACATCAGCATCGAGTTTACTAGTAAAATTTCCATTTTCAGGACGCATTATTACGTGGATCTTACGTAATCAACGATCTAATTTTCTTATTTTCTTTGTCATGCACGACACCTGCCAAAAGTATCCGACACCTCTTAAAAATGGCCGTTTAATCACATTATCTCAGCAATCAGTGATCAGAATTTAATGATTATGATTCATCATTGTAATCTATTTCAAATCGCTGTTGAAAAAAAATTCGATATCGCTATTATCGGTAATACATAATCAGTAATGATGGTACTTGTTTTTTAGAATTTATCAAAAGAAGGCGGTTACATGCCCATCGCTCCTTTTCGTCTCATCATTCCTTTTTGTCTCCCATCACTTCTTTTCATCTCTCATCACTCCTTTTCGCCCCATTACTCCTCTTCATCTTCCCATCATTTCTTTTCATCTCTCATCACTCCTTTTCGTCTCATCGCTCCTTTTCACCTCCCATCACTTCTTTTCGTCTCTCATCACTCCTTTTCATCTCCCATCACTTCTTTTCGTCTCCCATCATTTCTTTTCATCTCTCATCACTCCCTTTCGTCTCATCACTCCTTTTCGTCTCATCATTCCTTTTTGTCTCCCATCACTTAATTTTCATCTCTCATCACTCCTTTTCGTCTCATCACTCCTTTTCGTCTCATCATTCCTTTTCGTCTCATCATTCCTTTTCGTCTCATCATTCCTTTTCGTCTCATCATTCCTTTTCGTCTCATCATTCCTTTTTGTCTCCCATCACTTAATTTTCATCTCTCATCACTCCTTTTCGTCTCATCGCTCCTTTTTGTCTCCATCACTTCTTTTCGTCTCTCATCATGTCCTATTTCTCCTTTTTGTTTCCTATCACACTCTTTTTTACTCCCTTTCATCTTCTATTACTTTCCATTACTCCATTGTTGCTTCATTTTTTTATTAGCATCTTTCTCCTTGATCATTGTAATTTTATTATCTATTTATTTATTGTTATTGTTTTTTTTATTTGCATCACTTCATTAAAAATAAAGCCAGTGATTTTTTACTTAAATTTTAGTATTTGCAAATAAAATTTCATAAATTTTAGTTTCGCCGATCAAACATTCAGAAATTAAAAAAATTATCCATCAGCCGATTAATAAAATTACTAATTTACTCTATATTGTACATCATGTGACATATTTGGAAAAAACCCCCAATGGTTAGCAATCCCCAAATAAATTTATTTTATTTTATTTTATTATCTCGATATGTTATAAAAAAAAATTATTATTATTTTTTTTAATTAACTTTATTAATATTATAACAATTATTATCTGTTATACAACAATTTGTTATAATTTAGACGTCATTACATCTCCTAATAAAGTATCTATCTACTAACTATCCAAAACGAAAAAAAACAAAAAAAATTGAATATACCAAAACGTACTAGCTATTTATGATTTTAATTTAACTTTTAATCAAAATCTATGCTAATACCTACGACCATAAATGACAGATACTTTACTAACAAACTTACCACCTCTTTGGTTTTATCCCTTTTCTTTTACAACGACTTGCTCGACGTTAGCTTTTTGTATTTCTTTGAACAAAACAGGTGCTTGTTATCTTTATTTACATGATTACTACCGTCCAAGTTGAAACTACTTGAATTCCAACTCATCATCTTTATAATTTTTCTCCACTCTGTTGGAAAAAAAATTATAATCCCCTCTATTTTATAAAATTATGTATTACGTGTATCACATAATACTAATCTACTTTTTTTAAACTATTTTAAACTTTTTTAATAAAATCCCCCTCCCTCTTTTCCGTTTTTCCCTTTTTCCTCCTCTCCTCCATTTTTACCTTTCCCCTCTTCTTTTGTTCTTCTTCTCTCTCGTTCTCCTCTCTCCCTTTCTTTTCGTTTCCTCCTCTCTTTCATCCTCTAAATTAACCGCTTTTCACCAAGTAAAAAAATTATGAATTTATTTTTTAGGTAACACTTTCATTTCAGCGGATCTCTTGTGGAAATGTTAATTTTTTTTGGCCTTACTAACCTTTCTTTTTTTAGGGTTTGCCACATTTCGACCTTCGGATGCGTAAAAAATTCTAGATAGCCAGGTCTTTAAACATTTTGGAATTCAGTGGTTAGTTTCCTTATTTTTTTTTTATTTTTACAGTAACGATTATTAACGTTTCTATTTTTTAGACAGGTCTGGTTGCGTGGATTTGAATTTTGGTAAGGGCTGAACACGTGGAATTTGATTTTAGTAAGGGAATTGTAACGATTAAAATTTATTTTGTTTAACAAAACGTTTATAACGCTTCATATTTTTTCCTTTTTTTTAGACGAGTCTGGACGAGTGAAATCAGTCTTTTTTAAATAATTTTTTTTTTTTTTTTTAATATCTCAGATTCAGACGCAGCTTTGAATTTTGGCATAATATGGTAAGTTTTGAAGCTACAACTTCAAAACATCTTTTGATATTTTTTGAAAAAAAATCATTTTTTTTTTTTATATCGACTTTTCTTCCTTTTAGGTTTTGGATAGGTAAGTTTTGAAGCAAAAGCTTCAAAGCACTTAATATTTTTTTTTGAAAAAAAAAAACTAATTTTTTTTCTTTTTTTTTAGATATCACCTTTAATCTTCCTTTTAGGCTTTTGATAGGTAAGTTCTGAAAGTTCTTTCTTTCTTTTGAATTAGGTATTTTTTTTAAAAAAAAAATACCATATTTGGCAGTAATTAAGCACCCCTTTTTTGCACTTAATGCCGGCCAAGATGCTCATAATTCTGGCCAAAATCGCCATAATTCTGGCCGGGGTGCTTATTTTTGGGGGTACTTAATAATAGCAAAATACGGTAATCTATTTTTTTTTCTTTTTTTAGGTATCAGCTTCAGTCAGCCTTCAGATCGGTAAATTTCGAAAGTTTTGCTTTGAAACTTATTTCTTTTTTTTTAAATAAAAAATTTTTAAACAATTTCTTTTTTTTTTTAGGCATATTATCGGCTTCAATCTTTCATTTCAGATCAGTAAGTTTTGAAAGTTTCTTTTCGTTTTGAAACTTTTTTGGCTTTTTTTTAAAGTAAAAATTTCTAATTTTTTTTCTTTTTTTTAGGTATATAATGGCTTCGACTTTAGACTTTAGATCAGTAAGTTTTGAGGGTTTCATTCCGAAACTTATTTTTGTTTCTTTTTCAAAATAAAATTTTTAATTTTTTATTTCTTTTTTTTTCTAGTTAGGTCAACTTTGACATTACCACTTTAAATCGGTAGTTTTGAAGACTTTTTTTTGAAACTTATTTTTATTTTAAAAAAAAAAAAGTTTAATTTTATCGGCTCTTTGTTTAGACACATTCAAAACTTTCGACCTTAGGTAAGTCTTCAAAATTTTTTTTTTGTGAATTTTTTCTTTTGAAAAAAATTGGATTAACTTTATTTCTTTTTTTATTAGATACTGATCTTCCTTGGTGACTTGGATCGGTAAATTGAAGCTTTAAAAATATTTTTTTTTTTTTTTG